CCTTCTGGCCTGTCACAGACTTCCTTTGGTCTGCTCTTAGAATAATGTCTTTTTTCCCCTTTTCTTTCTTTTCTTTCAAACTCTTGGCTTTACCTGATGCCTACTTTTTGTAATTTCATTTCCTAATTTCTCAATATTGTGTTATGTAAAAGTGTGCCGTTTATCGAGAAGGGCACAGAAGGAACGTGGGCTACACGAAAGGAGAGAAAGACTGTGTTTTGTGATATTTAGAGGATGTGAGCACACACAGCACAGCACGGGGGGCGGGGGGAGGTGCCTGCTTGGTTTTGGATGTGTACTGCATATCTGATCTCTGTCCCTTGCTGATGAATATCACGTGTAACCCCAGTCTCATGCAGTGGCAGACGTCATTTGGTGACATTGTATTTGAGGGATTTATCCAGGTATGAGAAGCCTCAAAACATACTCTATACTTAGACACCAAGAAAGCTAAATGCAGGTCAGCTGGAAGGCAAGCAAGTTTCTGAGGAAAGAAGCCCTTCTCCCCATCTCCAGCCATCAGCCAGTCAGTCATAGCCACTAAACACTGGACTGTTCAGCACTTCACACACACTCTGTGGCTTTCATTTTGAAGTTGTATCCCAGATCAGATTCACTGTGCACAGAGTGTGTGCAGGACAGGGAAGGGCTTGGAAGAAAATGCGGTTCCTATGCTTCTCCCCCTGCAGAGCAGAATGGCCTCTCCGCCAACACTTGGTCAGGCTGGCCCTTCTGGCGCCCTCATCCCATTTTATCCTAAGCCACCCACTCAGCTCTGGCCTGTTGTTCCCTGGGCTCCACTGCGTCCTGTGTGTGCTCTTGGTTCTGTGATGGTCCCTTGCTCAGCTCCTCTCCCTCTTCCTCTAGGGGCCAGCAGGGCTCCCTGGGGTCTGGAGATGTCTCTCTGCACCCTGTCTCCTCTCAGTTGTCCCGTCCCCACTTTATCCCATTTTATCCTAAGCCACCCACTCAGCTCTGGCCTGTTGTTCCCTGGGCTCCACTGCGTCCTGTGTGTGCTCTTGGTTCTGTGATGGTCCCTTGCTCAGCTCCTCTCCCTCTTCCTCTAGGGGCCAGCAGGGCTCCCTGGGGTCTGGAGATGTCTCTCTGCACCCTGTCTCCTCTCAGTTGTCCCGTCCCCACTTTTACCAGCGTCGTTGCTGTGAGTTGTTGGCATGTCCTGTCAGCTCGCCCCCTCTCGGTCTTACCATCCACAGTGTGACAGCATCCCCCTGCTGTGACATTGGATCCCTCCACGAGTTGGAAGGGCCAGGAGAAAGGAGGGTGGCTGTTACATGGGAAGGACAGTGACACTGACTGGTGGAATCGCCCATGTGTGTATACGTTCCCCTGAAGTGGTCCTGGTGCAGAATTGGAAGCATCGCACACCTCAGAGCCCTGCAGCCCAGCCTTCGATGAAGGTGCTGCCTCCGCAGACTCAGAGTTCCTGTCTGTGTGATGGCACCCAAGAGTGGCAGCACCCGCTGACCCCAGACTCATCCACAGTAGTTTAACCTAAAGCATGGGTGTCTGTGATGACATCTTAGAATGTTTCACTTAGGTTTGGTTGGTGACCCCAGATTACCACCTGCACACCTAAAAGTAACAACATAGTACACTCTGATCACAAGGTAGGCAGGCCTACCCAGGGACTTTGGATGCTTTTGAGGAGGAAGCCCAACAGCCAAGGCTATGATATGCTAATACCCAAACGTCACCACCCTCCTGGTAAGGGCGAGGAGGAAGGTGTGTGGCTGTGAGCCACTGAGGAGTGAAGGGAACGTGTGTCTTTGGAAGAATCCATCTGTTAAGCCACGTGCCCACGTCGTGGCCACTGCCTTTACTAGGGCCTACTCTTGTTCAGTTTCCATGCTGAAAAAAGGACTTAATTCATTTGTAGACTTTGTTTCCCCTGTTTCTGCTTTTCCATTTCTGGTATTTTTTTTCTTTTCCTCCTGTTGTTCCTTTCTCACTTTTTCTGCTTTTTGTCCTCTGCTTGTTTTTTATTTCACTTTTCCCCTGTCCCTTTCCACATCCAAATTCCTCCTCCTCCATCTCCTCCTATTTTTTTCTCTTCCTTTTTTGTCTTTCTCCATTTCTTCCTCTCCTCTTCCTTGTTTGGTCCTTTTTGAAGTTGAGCCCAGTGGCGGGACTCCACGGCGTAGACCTCTCTCCTTCTGCCCTTGCTGTGTCCAGGAAGGTAACGTAACCTCGCGCCCTGAATCCCCACCGCCTCAGCGGGGTCGTGGCCACGTTAGTCCCACAGGGAGCCAAAGCCCAATTGTTGCTCCTTCCTTCTCTGACACGCGACAGCCCATTCCAGAATGTTATGAGTATGTTGCAGTTTCTTACAAGGAACAGTATCCCTTTGACTGTCTCAGGGGCGCTGGGTACAGAGGGCAGCCGAGGCCTCCAGGCCCGGCATCTGGAGGCTACACACGGCCCTGTGGCACTGCCTGCACTCACGGCTGGGGCCTGTATGCCTCAAGTCCACCAGATAGAGGGGCTGGGGACCCCGGGAAAGGACCTCCCACACAGGCAGCAATTTGTACTGACGGAGTCAAGGAATACTGTCCTTACAAAGACTAGTCTAAGCAAGCGCCCCAAGTTCTTTACCAACATAACCACGAAAAGCAAACTTTTCTACCTTGTGTCTTGCTGAGTGTGTTTCGTTTTGTTTTGTTTTTAAGTTTGTCTGATTTGAAACCTGTTGTGGTGATAAGATTGTCTTTGACAAGGCATGTGGAAAGGGGGACAGGGAGTGTGGCCATGACTAACCCCTGCTAACCTCCTCCTCTGCTCTCCATGGCTCTTACATTGACTTCCCCCACCACGTACCCTGCTCATCGCTATGACCGAGCCCTGCCCTGGCTCGTGAGCAGTGTTCACATGTCCCCAGTGGGGTTCCCCGTGTCTCCACCTGGGAGGTGGGCAGGAGGGCGAGACACGTCAGGCAGATTGCATGTCTCCGGCTCCGTCCTCATGGCCACGCGGGCACACTGTGCAGAGATGCTTGGAAGGAATGCATGGAACTGAGCCAGGACCCAAGTCTATTGGATTGGGTGAGGAGAGCTCAGGCCCCAGACACACAGGTAGCGCTCCACAGAACAAGCTCGACGGGTCGGGGCTCTGTCCCCAAGAGTAGGACATGGGCAAGATGCCCTCGCAGAGCAGAGCTGCATGTGCAGACACTAACCCTTGCTTGTGTGGACACCATACATTTCTGCCTCTCCAGAGTGTGGCCACCAAGAACTCACTGGTTCCGGCCTCACATGTCAAGCAGACAGTTCCACGGGAGCTTTGGCTTTGACTGGTGTGCAAGAGGGTCGGGCGGCCAAGCACAGGCAGGAGGAAGGGACCATCACCTGAGAAGACCCCCTCCCCCGGGATGTAGTCCAACCAGGACCTCAGGAAATAGAAGAGACTGAGAGATTTCCCGGTCCATCACCCCTTAACCTGAGGCCTCTGGCTGGGCTTCAGGAAGTCTGTGAACACCCCCAGAATTCTTTGTAAAATTGTTTGATGTCAAGCTGGGGGTGTAGCCAGTGGTCAGCACTCACCTAAGATGCACAAAGCCCTGAGTTCAATCCCCAGCACCATAATAAATAAATAGAAAATAATGTGTACACATAAGCATTTTTCTAGGAAGAGTCTTTAGCTTTCATGAAATTCTCAAAACAATTTGTGCTATAAAAACATTAAAGAGGAACTGACATTCAACCAAGACCACTCTTTTGCCATAAGCATCTTTATGCTCCAAGAGAAAAGGAGTTTTGGTTCCTCCTTGGGTGGCTTATTCCTTGCAAAGTTTTTCATCCTCGTACTGCAGTTAAGCACAGATCCAGCCACCCCTGGTTGAAACTCAAGAGCCCACCGTGTGTTGGTTCAGGGCAGCCCGAGGCAGCAGAGGCACCAGCACTGCTGCTGGGATTGTAGAGCAGGGCATTCAGGGGTCTACAGGTGAGAAAGCTGTTAGTTACCCTGCACCTGCCACTCAGGACCCTTTAGCTTATTCACCAGGAAACATGGCAGGCCACATGTTAAGAATTGGCGTCTTCCTGCCGGGCCCATGGAAGGCATATGTCTGTCACCCCAGCCATGTGGAGACTGAAGCAGGAGGATCACAAGTTCAAGCCCAACCCCGGCTGCTTAGGGAGACCCTGTGTACAAATAAACGGGGCTGGGGATGTAATTTAGTGACATAGTGCCTCTAGGTCCAATCCCTAATACCACAGTGGGGGAAAGAAAAGTGGTGCCTTTCTGGTCAGGATATAAAGCAATGATGAACTGTTAATAGTAGTGGTCCCAGGGAATGAACTGGGTTAAATGAGTGTAACTTAAAAGAACAAAGGGTTAGGGCTGGGTATACAGCTCAGAGGTAGAACACCTGCCTAGCATTTAGTGTGCAAGAGGCCCTGGTTTTGACCCAAAGCACTGATTTCTTTCCCCCCACCCCCGTACCAGCCTTTGTGAGGCAGGCCTGGTGCCACTGAGCTAAATCCCCGGCCCGACCCGCAGCACTGAAAAAAAAAAAAGTAGTGTTTTTAAATTTACATTTACTCTGTTATTAGACTGGTTTTCTCAGAGGAGACTTAAGACATAGTAAGTGCCAAATATTAAATCAATGAAAAAAGTTAGGTGTGGGGTGGCAGCAAAGCGATTTAAGATATACCAGAAGAAAGCCACTGAGTAGGAAAGTATCATCAAGCCTGTGAGAAGGAACAGTCTCCACTGGCCAGGGTTACTGTGGGTTGAGGGTAGGGCCCAGGCAGGGCAAACCGAAGATATATCCCCCTTTACACCTCAAAGGGGAGGCACGATGCAGGGGTGTCATTCTCTGCCCCCTCCTGGAAGGCAGTAGGCAAACTTTGGACCTGGCTTGGGAGTGTTCCGGCAGCACTTGCTCGACTCTCTTTGCACATTTGCCCCGGTGTGATGACTCCCTCTGGGCCGGGGTAGGCAGAGCCTGTTCCTGCAGCCTGACACTTGCTTTCTCTTGGCAGGCATGGGCAAGAAGGATGACCCCAAGCTGATGCAGGAGTGGTTCAAGCTGGTGCAAGAGAAAAATGCTATGGTGCGCTACGAGTCGGAGCTGATGATTTTGTGAGTAGTCCGAGCTTGGGGGCCCAGCTCCAGGGGGACAGCAGCAGTAGGCCTGCCCCTGCCCTGACTTGGCAAGGTGTCAGAGTCACTGTCACTGTCTCCCTCCTGTCTCAGTGCCCGGGAGCTGGAGCTAGAGGACCGACAGAGCCGACTGCAGCAGGAGCTGCGGGAGCGCATGGCGGTGGAAGGTAAGCACAGGCTGGCCACCCGGGGGCCGGTCAGGCTGCCACCTGCTAGATGCCCACCTGATGCCCTTGGCTGCTCCTCCAGATCACCTGAAGACAGAGGAGGAGCTGTCAGAGGAGAAGAAGATCCTGAACGAGATGCTGGAAGTGGTAGAACAGAGAGACTCCCTGGTGGCCCTGCTGGAGGAGCAACGGCTCCGGGAAAAAGAAGAGGACAAGGACCTGGAAGCCGCCATGCTGTCGAAGGGCTTCAGCCTGAACTGGTCCTGAACTCTCGCACGTGCACTGGCTTGTGTGTTGGCACCTGCCCGCCAGCCTACTTTCTCCCAAGCCCCCGGATCCAGCATCCAAGGGGGTTGGCACTGCCTGGGAGTCTACACTCAGAGGGCCGTGTTCTTGTGTGCCGTGGGGAAGCCCCAGGCTACGGTAATTATCTGAGGTGACTCCGCCTCCTGGGAAGAGGCCCATTGGGACTTCCCACTTGAGAGGGGGAAACTGCACGGTCTCAAAGGGTGGCGCACCTTCCTTTTGCTGACACATTTGGTAGGGGAAGGAAACTGCTCCCTCTCTTCAAAGCCACCACAGCCACGGAGAGCACCCCGCAGAGCAGGGCAGCTGTTGTCTTCACACTCCCTGAAGCACCACCAAAGAAAGGAAAAGACACCCCGCAAAAGCAAGTCCTAGAGACCCACAGGAGAGCCAAGGCCAGCTACACAGTGCCCAAGCCAGCATCGCAGGGGAAGCTGAGGGGTGGCAGGCTCTGAATTCATTATGCAAGTTAAGAGGATGCAGAAGAGGGCACCCCTAGCCCCGTACCGCACATGGGGCCTCTAGTGGCCAAACACCCCAGGCCTCTGCTCTCACTGGTCGCAGCCTGAGGCCTATGGATTGCTGCATTTTGCTTTTAGTTCACAACCATTTTGACACTGGAAAGTACTGGTTTTGGGGGCTTGGGGAGGTCCTAACGTCAAGCCCCCTGCTGACAGACAGGCATTTTCAGTGTTCAGCACTTCTGGGGCAGGAGGTCACCTTCTCCCTGGTGTTCTTCCTGCATTTGCACATTGAAAAGAAGCTGACAGCCTGGTGAGATGTTCAGCCACTTCGGACCCTTTCGTCAATTAACTTATTTTTTTAATACTTGAAAAGAAGCAACTTCATTTTTATATCCTTAATAGAGACACTGATCGTCTGGCCACCTGCGTGTAGGAGTGAGAGAGGTCTCTGCAGGAGGTCTCCCACACACAGCCTGATTCGAGACTGACTGAATGCTTGTTACATGCACTTATTTATTAGCTTCTCCATAATGTTACTGACCTGGTTGGCATCAGGGAGTAGCTTGAGGCCCTCTGGGCCCTTGCTCACAGCTTTTCTGTCCCCTCCAATACCTGTCGCCCGCCCCACCCACCAGCACCCCCTTCTATGACACTGGGCCTCTACGTCTGAATCATTTGCTTGTCAGAGATGCATCTCAGCACTGCTGAGATGTAGAGACGCCACTCTACACCCTCCATGGCGGGATGTTTCTCTTGGTTTTGGTGCCAGGACACCACCATCCTCTGCAGGTGTGTTAAAGCTTGGGCATTAAGCCCACTTCGACTGGCAAGACCATGTAGGGTGGGACCATGGACTCAATCTGGCCCAAGGGTCAGACAGACTGGAGCGTGGGTGCTGCCCCAGGCATTGGATGTAGGCTGTTCCAAGACAAACAGGGATGAATCAAGCCCTGTCTTCCCTAGGATCTCCTGGGGCAGCAAGGGCTAAAAAGAACCGTGTAATCAGCTCCATATGCCAAACTTCATTCTCACGGTTCTGCCGGAGGCTGGCTGTATACAGCTTATCTAAGCCACTGACTGAGAAAACGGGCAGAGAAGTGGGTGCTTGCTTGTCTGTCACAGGAGTCTGTACACCGTCAGCCCAGGGGTGTCAGTGTCAGGCCCATCCAGGAGGGGGCACTGTGGTCACCCCTGGTGGGGATGGGCCAGGAGACCGTGCTGACCTGGACTCTCTCCATGGAATCACACTGTGCCTCAACTTGAACATTCATCTAACTACGAAGGAGCAAAGAACCTTACTCTTCACTTTGTCTAAAAGCTGCCATCTGTCCTGTGGAAACCTAGATGTGCTGCTGCAAACCAGCGCAGCTCTGACTTCCTAGTGTCCTGTTTTCCAATGAGACAGTCTCCATTTTTAGTTTCTTTTCCTAAAGGGGGAGAGGAAAGTATTCTCCATTCCATCTTCAAACCCCCATCTCCCACGAAACACTGGACTGGGGATATGACCTTCATTGCCTGTGTGGCCTTTTCCCTTATTCTCTCCCCCTCCTACAAGCCCAGCAGAGATGCCTCTGTCCCCATTGTTCCCCTAACCCCCAGATCAAGGAAGCAGTTTCCAGAGTGACCGCAGCGATAGTGCTGTGCTTCATGTGGCCTCACGTAGCAGAAGGGCCAGGTTTCCTCAGCCTCTTGCTGCTGCCCAGCCCTAGTCAGCCTTGACATCGCTACTTCTTTCCAAAGCACATGCTGCTGCCTGCAGTCACTTTCAAGGGGGCCAAAGAGTGCAGAGAGGCCTTTTAAACACCAGCCAGCCAGGTGTCCCCCAGCTCTCCGCTCCCAACAGTGTTAGGACTTCAGGTTCTCAGAGAACACTTATTTTTAAAGCTTCCAGTTTATAACCACTAGTTGATTTCAGTACTCTGGTGACTTGCTACATGAAATGTTTTCCAGCTCTGGAAATGCACACAGCTCCAGCCAAGTTCTCCTCCCAAGAATTAAGTTTGTCTCTGAAGGCAGGGAAGTAGAGCCTGTATACCATAAACACACATAGAAAAGCCAGAGTCCCCTGGAGTGAGCCTGGGCACAAGGCTGAGTGCAGTGGAGACCCACAGTCAGCGCTTCTGGGGGACAGGCAGAAGCAGCTTCCGTGCCCAAGGCTGAGGCCGAGCAGCAGCTCCACATAAGATTCTAACCCTGCTCAGTTGATATCTTTGGGCCTTTGCCCCCAACTGCCTCCCCAAGCTGATTTTTGACCAGCAGTGCAAGGAGAGAATTTGATAAAAAGTTGAGGGTCTGGGAGTGTAGCTCAGTGATAGAGTGTATGCTTAGCATGCGCAAGGCTCTCTGGGTTCCATCCCAACACTACAAAAAAAAAAAAAAAGTGGTAACATGAACATCCCACCCACAAAGGAGAATTGTCCATTTTATGCGCAATAAAATTTTTTAAAGAAAGAGTGTATTCAGTCATTCTTCTGTACCTGGTAGTGATCCAGGGCCCATGTCTGTGTCTAAGCAGTATCCACAGAAGTCCTAGCTCTAGCATGTGTGTGGATGGACACAAGTTTAAAGACCTGGTCTAGTTTGGTTTTTGCTTAGTTTGTACTTTTTCCCTCAGTGTTCTATGTATCCTGACTCAGCCATCATCTGCCATTTGAAAACTGCCCTAGGGCCCCTGTTAAGGTAAGAAGCTGCCCTTTGGAACCAAGCCCCTGTATGTGGCCTCTGGTTGGGATGCATGTCTTTGACATGGAGATTCACTAAACTGGAGCGATCCTTGGGTCCCAGCCCCTTTCCTTCCAGCTGGCAAGGAGCCCAGTGGGCTAGGGCGAGTCTGTGCCCAGGCTGTTTGGGTGGTGCAGAATCCCTGAGTTTACTCAGCACATAGGGGCCTGGAGGGCACTGATGTCACCCTTCATGAGTGCAGAGTCATCGCCAAGAGACTAAAGGGAAGGATCCTGGCCCGCTCTTCTCCCCTTGCTGCAGGCCACTTTACTTTGCAGAGACCTTCCGGGACTCTCCCAAGTCTCAGACATCAGGAGCCTCCCAGACTGCAGACCTTGAGATCACTGCTCCCAGAGAAGTAAGCAAGCAGCAGGGAGCAACACCAACCACAGGAGCCTGGAGCCATCTAGAGTCCCTGCTGTGGAAGCTGTAGCGGGAGTCTGCTGGCTGTTACAGCTACTCCAGAAGGAAGCACACCCGGCCAGGACCGATGTGGACAAGATCATATGACCAGCACAGAAGGATATGCCAGGGCATAGACCTGAAGGGAAAGACAGGCCACAGCCCTTCCAAGAGTGGAGCTTGGAGTGGTGCAGCCCTGTAATCCCAGCCATCCGGGAGGCTGAAGCAGGAGGTAGGCAAGCTCAATTGGCAATTTAGTGAGACCTTGTTTCAAAAAATGAAAAGGGCTGGGGATGGAGCTCAGTGGTACAGCATCCCTGAGTTCAATCCCCAGTACCCATCCCCAAAATAAATAAAATTTTAAAAGTGAGGCTTGGAAGTAACCTGGTCCCAATTCCCATCTGTTTGCCAAAGGAATCCCTGGTTGAGAGCTTACAACAGGATTTGACCACAGTTCACAGCAACCTGCCAGTCCCCAGGTGGCAGGAAATGGTGATTGTTGTTTGGGCAGGCAGCCAGAAAGACAGGCTGGGGAGCCCCCTCTTCCTCTCAAGAAACCACTGTGACTCATGGCTCCAAGACCTTGAACCTGAACCCTGCCAGGGTCCCCTTTGCATCACATTCAAAAGTGGAGCAGGAAGCCATGCACAGTGGTACATACCTACAATCCCAGCACTGTGGGAGGCTAAGGCAAGAGGATTACAAATTCAAGTACACCACGGGCAACTTGGAGGCTTGGTGAAATCCTGTCTCAAAGTAAAACAAGAGGTGGGACCGTAGCTCAGTATAAAGACTAAATTAAATCCCTGGTACTATAAAAATGAAAAAGAAAGAGTGCGCTGTCCTTTTCTGAGCCAGCCAGATGGGCCCACTTAGCAACACCTTTGATTGTGTTGTCTGCCCTGATGTTCTTACCCCCATGAGGGCAGGAAGAAGCCATTGTCTTAGGTGAGCAGTGCCTACCCAAATGCTACTCTAGCTGGAGCCTCACCATGGTACTTGAGCCTAGAACCCTTCCAGTAATGCTCCCCTGATGCTTCTGAGCCTCAACTGCTGGCACTTGTAGGCCACCCCATTCCTTGTGTCACCTACTCCTGAGGTCTTTTTGCAGCTAGGTTGTCAGTGGGAAGTTGGGGGTCCCAGCTTCTGTGGGTAGGCACGTCCGCCACTGCCGCTGCCTGAGGCCACCTGTGTCGCACAGCAGTGTAGAAGGGGACTTTCCCCAGGACACACTTGCGTACATATCACCCTTCCTTCTGTGGGCCCACACCCTTTCTTAACCAGTGATAGCTAGTTCTCAAGCACAAGGGTCTAGACTTCAGACCGTGGTGGGCCAATTGTGGAGGAGCAGAGGCCCAGGGCTAGGCCTGGATCCAAATGGAAGTTCTCCCTGTATAGCAAACAACATGAACCCAGGCCACCAGACATGGCAGCTCCAGACCCAAGGGAGGGTCTTTTACAAGTAGTCATCATGTGAAAATGAGGACAATGTCACTGGCATCTGTACCTCTCAGAAAGAGATGGGTGTGAGTAGTGAGTCTGAGGTAAGCATTCAGAGAGGACCACCCCAGGCACCCCACTTAGCTATCCAGTCGGTGCCTCGTTCTCCCCATAGGTGGTGGGCCCATAACCAACCGAGGTACCCATGAGAGAGCAAGTGCCTCGAAGGATCGAATTGAAGTCTGTGGAGACACAAAAGTGTTCACCTTGGAGAAGAGGCCATAAATCCAAGGACCAAGAGCCAGGTGCACCTGCAGCCCAAGGTCATTTCCTATACATCTGGTGACCCAACAAACGTGGTTGTTCACTTTGTAACTATTCTAAATGCTAGGCCAGATCTGTTTGCTCACAAACTTAATAGGTACAGGTTGCCATAGGGAGACAGTGTTTCCAGAGCACTCAGACTGGCCTCCTCTGGCCCCAGCACCACCAAGCCAGCTCCATTGGAACTGTTGTCCTCAGTGGCCCCCGAGGGGACATGTCACAGGTCCCTATCCCCCTGAACCTCATTTTCCAGGATGGGTGGGTCATGGTGCTAAACCAGAGCCAAAGGAGGGAGGGGCCCACAGTGAGTGCCAAGGCCCGCGGGTGACAAGGGAGAACGGTTTCTTGAGAAAGAAGAAGAAAAATGACAGCTCCCTCCCCAGCAACATTTCATGTGTGTGTGTGTGTGTGTTACTGGGAACTGAACCAAGGGCCTTTATTAGAGTTCCGAGACAGTCTCACTAAGTCACTGAAGTTGCTTAGCAGGACTCGAACTTCTGATCCTCCTGCCTCACCCTCACGAGTGCTGGGGTTACAGGCTTGCACTACCATATCCAGCTTCATTTAACTTTTTCAAAAGTGTTTTTTAAGAATTAAATACCCTTCTTAAAATGTCACCAGTGCCAGGTGTGGCCGCATGTGCCTGTAATCCCAGCACTCTGAGACGCTAAAGCAGGCTGATCACAAATTTGGACTGGCCTAGCCTGGACAATTTAAACACAAAATTTAAAAGGGCTGGGAATGGGCCAGGCGTGGTGGTGCACACCTTTAATCCCAGCACTCAGGAGGCTGAGGCAGGAGGATCGCTGCGAGTTCGAGACCAGCCTGGGCTACACAGTGAGTTCCAGAGCAGTCTGAACTACATAGCAGGACCCTGTCTCAAAAAAACAAAAAAGGAGGGGGGTGGCTGGGAATATATCTCAGTGCAGAGGTCCTAGGTATAATCCCCAGTCCCAGTCCCTCCCCCCACCCTGACACCAAAATGTCACCAAGGCCAGACACTCACCTCACAGCCTTGTGCTAGGAACCAAGAATGATCCTGGCCCAGTCATGCAGCTTTTCAGCCTTGATCAGACTGTTGGTGTCTAGGGTATGGACCCAGTTTCCAGGGCTGGCTGTGCTGGGAACAAGCAGCAGAAGAAGCCACCCATCTCTTACCCACTTCCCCAGTCACTCAGCCACCTCAGCAAGCAGGGAGGGGGTCAGGAGTTGGCAGAGCCTCAGCTTGAGGGATGGACACCAACAGACGTTTTTCCAGTCGCTGCCCCAGAAGGTGTGGGTGGCAGCCCCCAGCTCTGTGGGGTTCTGTGGGGAGATAACTGTGAAGGAAGATTAAGAGCAGTTCCTCAAACTCAGTGCCTGAGAGGAATGAGTGGAAGGGAAAACCCCCTGTCATGATGCCTGCAGTGGTTTAAAGTCCTTGTCCAATACAGGAACCCTATTTACAGGAAAGAGAACACCTCCTCTGAAGTGGGCAGCTGGCCAGTCCTGTTCCTGACCATAGGAGCTGTTCTGTAGGAAAGCGAGGAAAGCAATAGAAAGTAATCCCTGCTTCTATTGGTAAGGTGAGGTCTCCGCCCATCACCCTCCAATTGCACTCCTGTGGCCAACTACCAAAATAAAATCAGTCATTTTTATCCTGTGTAGAAGAAGCTCACTTCTCCCTTCAACAGTAATTCACACCCTGGGAACTGAGCTGTGCCCTTTGAGCCAAGGGCTCCAGGGACACCTTCCCGAGGCTCCAGCTGGGAGCCACCTGCTCCCGAGGCCAGTGGCTCAAGCCAGTTCACATGTGGTGAGAACTGTCCCCCTCTGCCTCTCCCACTTCCCTCCATGTTTATTTTGGTGACAAGTGTCACTACTAGCTCGAAAGAATTTCCTCTTCTTCCCCTGCCTGGCATTTACTACCATATGACAGCAATGGGCAGACAGAAAGTTGTGTCCCTGAACATTTCCTAACATTTCCTGAACATTTCATCTCTGATCAAGGGCGATCTTTCAGCATCTCGGCTAAGGGTAGCCTTGTTCAAAGGCAGGAGAGCACCCCTGATACTGGGAAAGGCGGGCGGAGGGGTCTTGAGGACAGCAAACACACGGCATGGCCCGGTGTAGACCCCTTGCTCGGCATGGGGAAGGCCCTGGGATCTGTCCCCGGGGCTGCAAACAAAGACCCCTGAGCTCAGAACCTAGCTGCATGGTCAGGAATGAAAAATGGGAAGCCTACACATTTCCTGCCAGGACTGTGGTAAGGAAAACATTGCTGGGTGGCATGGGCAGAAGTCAGTGAATGGCCGTCCAGGGCCCTTCCAATCCTGAGAGGTGGAAGAGGACTCTCCACACATGGCCTAGCCTCCTGGGCCCCCAGGAATGCTGGACTTTCCTGCTCCCACTATGTCAAGACGAAGAAGGATGAAGAAAGATCTCGCGGGAGACAATGGGCAGAAGCAGCAGGATGATGTCCACCCCCAACCCCTCGACTAGCCCCGGCTTCCCCTCCCCAGAGGAGTTCTCCACGGGCTGGGGAGAACTGAGGCTCGGAGGACAAGACCCGGATTCCGTGATGG